AGATGAGTCAATTCATGGCAAGGTTCTAGTAGTTTAGCTATGTTTGTTCACAGAGCTTCCCAACTCGTATGTATTTAGCCGTGGATCACATCTTTACTGCAGATGAGTTAATTCATGGCAAGGTTCTAATAGTTTAGCTGTTAGTTCACAGAGCTTCCCAATTCATATGCATTTAGCCGTGGATCACATCTTTACTGCGGATGAGTTAATTCATGGCAAGGTTCTAATAGTTTAGCTATGTTTGTTCACAGAGCTTCCCAACTCATATGCATTTAGTCATGAATCACATCTTTACAGCGGATGAGTTAATTCATGGCAAGGTTCTAATAGTTTAGCTATGTTTGTTCACAGAGCTTCCCAACTCATATGCATTTAGCCGTGGATCACGTCTTTACTGCCGATGCGTTAATTCATGGCAAGGTTCTAGTAGTTTAGCTATGTTTGTTCACAGAGCTTCCCAACTCATATGCATTTAGCCGTGGATCACGTCTTTACTGCAGATGAGTCAATTTATGGCAAGGTTCTAATAGTTTAGCTATGTTTGTTCACGGAGCTTCTCAACTTATATGCATTTAGCCGTGGATCACATCTTTACTGCAGATGAGTCAATTTATGGCATGGTTCTAATAGTTTAGCTATGTTTGTTCACAGAGCTTCCCAACTCGTATGTATTTAGCCGTGGATCACATCTTTACTGCCGATGCGTTAATTCATGGCAAGGTTCTAATAGTTTAGCTATGTTTGTTCAGAGCTTCCCAACTCATATGCATTTAGCCGTGAATCATATCTTTACTGCGGATGAGTCAATTCATGGCAAGGTTCTAATAGTTTAGCTATGTTTGTTCACAGAGCTTCCCAACTCATATGCATTTAGCCGTGAATCATATCTTTACTGCGGATGAGTTAATTCATGGCAAGGTTCTAATAGTTTAGCTATGTTTGTTCACAGAGCTTCCCAACTCGTATGCATTTAGCCATGAATCACATCTTTACTGCTGATGCGTTAATTCATGGCAAGGTTCTAGTAGTTTAGCTATGTTTGTTCACATAGCTTCCCAACTCGTATGTATTTAGCCGTGGATCACGTCTTTACTGCCGATGCGTTAATTCATGGCAAGTTCTAATAGTTTAGCTATGTTTGTTCAGAGCTTCCCAACTCGTATGCATTTAGCCGTGGATCACATCTTTACTGCCGATGCGTTAATTCATGGCAAGGTTCTAGTAGTTTAGCTGTGTTTGTTCACAGAGCTTCCCAACTCATATGCATTTAGCCGTGGATCACGTCTTTACTGCTGATGCGTTAATTCATGGCAAGGTTCTA